ATATATATAGGCAAACATATATAGCTTATATAATCATGAACTTGGTTTGCTTTTACAGTTTCCATACGCTCCAATTAGTCACGTATGCAGAGTATTACAAATACAAATATTAACGCTGCGTATACGCGACGTAAAATGTTAGACTTGAACAATGCATCTCGCTCTCCCTCTCTGTCTCTGTCTATCTGTCTCACTCTGTTTATGAGCCTCAGTCTACGCTGCTCTGCTCGCCGTTGTGACGTCAGCCAGCTAAATTTACTACCAAATTAGGTGCTCAATGCGATCGCGTCTCGCTCTTTCAGGAAAAAAAAAGAAACAAAAAAAAAACCGGCTTATCTACGGGTGCGACTTCAACGTATTTTTATTTATTTTTTATTTTCATGAAGACGCAAAGACTCGAAGTGAGCTTTAGACATTAGATAGTTTAAGTCGATTGACGTCACGACGAGCGAAGAGTTCGTATCGCACAGAAGCGATAAAAGATATCTAGGCGTTTATATACTCAAAGTACAGTTGTCACAGCCACAGCAATTGCGATTGCGGGGTTCCCCTATTTAACTATGGGTTCATTATCAAACTCTCTTTAATTTCAACATTTTATGATATTTCCTATGCCATCAAAAAAAAAAAAAAAACAAGCGAATTTTTATGTTTTTTTTTTTTTTTTTTTTTTTTTTTTTTTTTGTTGCTTTGACACCTTAGAGCGATTTCTACTGAAATCGTTAAATGAATTTATTAGGCATTTTTTATTAATTATATTTATTTTTATACCTGTTTAACCATTAAATAAAATTATTTATATATTTAAGGCTATTTGATTTAAAATTTTTCCATTCCTACAAGTGAAAAAATGTACGTATCTATAAGATAACCAATCAATCTATCAGGGTTGCTGTCTTTCCGAACTGTATTGGACTTGTTGAACACAAATACCAGATTAACTGCCAGGAATTACGAAATGCAATGAAATTACTTGGAAGCAGGCGACAAAGAAAAAAGTCAGATAAGTTTATATATATAACTGATATATGTATATATATTAATATTTTTTGTAGACACACTTATGTACGTCTACCGAGGACATCGGACGGTCATAAACTTGGCACGCCGAAGTTAATACAACCATAAAAGTCACATAAGCAGAGGAAGACGAAGAACAACAACAACAATAACAACAATTAATGCTTAATTGTTATTATATATTTATTGTTGTTTAATAAGCCAGCAGCGCGGGCGACGCGTCGTTGCAGTTGGCAGCTAATTTTTATTTTTTTATTTTTCCGTTTTTTATTTATTTTTAGTTGATGCGCGCATTAAATTCCCAATTTCAGTTGGCGTGGCAGACCGATCAAATGTATCTGCATCTGCATCTGCTTATGTATCTGTGTGTGGCATTTGTATATGTATCTGGTCGAATTTCAGTTTCTGTTTGAGTTCGCTTTGAATATGCAAATTGTCTATACTTATACGCAACTGAAAGATACGCTGTAACTACATAAATATTGTAAATGCTATTGTAAATAAATGTTTAGTCTATTTAAATAAACTTTTGATTTTCATAATCTCCTAAAGAATTTCTCAAAATGATGTGTGATCTTAGCTATATACACATATAGATCTGGGTTACTATAAAACTATATACATAGAGTGTATATGATCGGATAAATTGTTTTTTACTTCTCAGCAAATCGATAAATATCAATATCAAGAATATAGCCAAATTCTCACTTTAGTTTAATCCAAACTTATGTTAAACCTCAACATACTCAAAGGCTAC